AATCCGTACGTCGAGCCGTTTAGATTTGTGCCGCAATTCTGCATTTCCTCCCTATACCTTAAGTTAAGGAGGGAATGTTCCCCCTTCTTTTACACCTCTTGACCTTTGACCTTTGACCCCCAGCTTCGACATCCCAACTCGTTTTCGGATTACCCACCCTACGTCCCGACTTTCGAATCCGTACGTCGAGCCGTTTAGATTTGTGCCGCAATTCTGCATTTCCTCCCTATACCTTAAGTTAAGGAGGGAATGTTCCCCCTTCTTTTACACCTCTTGACCTTTGACCTTTGACCCCCCAGCTTCGACATCCCAACTCGTTTTCGGATTACCCACCCCACGTCCCGACTTTCGAATCCGTACGTCGAGCCGTTTAGATTTGTGCCCAACTGTTGACGGACGCACGGACGCACGGACGCACACACGGACAATCATGCGATTCTACAAGCTGCATCCGACTTCGTCAGATGAGCTAAAAAAGCAGATTTAAACCAACAAACTGCAGTCATGCAGTGCACACAGGCGCGCGCGCACACTCCCGCATGCACACGGACGCACGCACATACGCATGCACGCACGCATGCACTCATGCACACACACGCGTAGACGCAGGCAAGCAAATATAAAAAAAATACTAGCAACAAAACTTGCGAGTAAATAACAATCACATCATCCTTTCTCATCTAAATGGCAAGTTCAAAATATGTGTAATGAAAGACATGCTCAGACCCTCCTTACGCTCTCAACAAAACTGATCAGCTAGTACTATATAATTACTAAGTACATTTTGACACGTCTAATCACTGATCAACTACTGAGCGTTTACACATTACAACTACATCACAAAATCGCACAGCAAAAACCTACTTCAGGCTTACGAAGCCTCTACATTTCCCCGAGCTCATACCTACTCACACCTTCGACACTTGGCTAAGAGGCGATGCTATCAACATATTTACACATCTTCCAAATCACTGCAAAGGCTAGTGTTAATTGCGTGTGCGTGCGTGCGTGCGTGGTAACCCAACTTAAACGACAGGTTAAATATGTTCACCTGTAGAGTGACCTCATCGTTCTAGACCACCATCACGTATAACCTAAGGCACACGCAACAACATCTAGTGGCCGACTCACCACATCATAAATATAAAATCTAGCTGCCCAGCTGCCGACGCCATCGTTACTGGATGGACAATGACTCATTGGCAGTTAACCCCCCCCCCCCCCACGACGTATATTTGTGCGTGTCACGACGTGAAAGCGACGCGGGTACGGTGACCGTGGTGGACGGCAGTGTAGAACGGCGGGGAAGCTCACTGCTGCTCCCGTGCCGCCACCCCCACCGTCAATCAGAAGGCACGACAGTGCCACCTATAAGTAGTCTGCGACGAAGAAGTGGGGCACTGGCGCCACCTACAGATAGTTAACAACATACGACTGTTTGCAATTGCGCGGTAGCGCCACCTATGAGTAGTTAACAACATACGACTGGTTGCAGTTGCACAGCAGCGCCACCTATAAGTAATCAACAACATACGACTGGATCTGGGAGGAGTAGCTGACTCTATCTACAGAGACCTGCGTCCCTGCAGGCTGCAGAGTATTATCGTAATCTGGGAGGAGTAGCTGACTCTATCTAGAGAGACCTGCGTCCCTGCAGGCTGCAGAGTATTATCGTAATCTGGCGGATGAGATGGAAATAGGTGAGTGCATGTGAGTGGAAATAATCTGGGCGTGGCCTGCCTCTACGCATGCGTAGATCCCGACAGCAATCACCCTAATAATTATCAATAAGACTGCAAAGCTCTTTCTTGTGTAAATAGTGCATGTTATATATGTGCGTGTATGTACCGCTATCCTATTTATATTACGTGACTTTATCCTATTTATATGATGTGTCTATTATTATATTATATTATATATATATATCTGATGTAATACGCGCACAAAACGGTGACGAATTCGGTTGAATTGAAACAAAATCTACCTATATATTATTGATCTTCTGCGCCAAGACCGACAGAATTATGATAGGCAATCTTTGTAGAAAGGAATATTATGAGATTATGACAACTTTTACTGTGTGAGGTAAATGTCAAAGCGCCCAGAAAACTATATTGCTGTACACAGAAAGGTTTTTGTAACAGACATACGTTTATTCATACTTGCACATGGGAGATCACTATTTACAATTACTAGTTGTTACAAATATATAATTCTTCATCAAAAATGTTAATCTACACGATTTATTCAGCCACCTGACTATTTAACTCTCATCGTAGAGATTACTCACGAAATATCTGAACAAAGTAAATTAACACACATAACTTAATTATTTAGCACCGACTATTAAATTGTGCAAGTGGAGTGGGAAACAATACCATATCTTCCGTGGAAAGCAATATAACACGATGTGCAAGAAATACAAAACAAGAGCTGCAGAGCGTCTGGGCTCATCTGAGATCTGTTGCTACAGTTATAAACGTAACATTTAAGTCGTGCGTAGTGACACCTTTGTTAGGCGCAGATATGCAGATACGCGTACACATCATTTCAGCAACCTTCTGCATTCTGCATACCTCCCAAATCCCATTAGTTGATAGAAATCACGTGCCTGAAACTCCTGTTTTATGGTGCATTGTGACCCTAACCCTAACCCTATTAAAAAAAAAAAATTAATTGTTGTAAAAATTACTTGTTGTTAAGAAATTGTTGTAAAAATTTGTTGTTGTTATGAAATTGTTGTAAATAAATCATGTAAATATTTCCCTTAATTGGAAAGAAATAGTTAAATGGATAAAGATAGAAAAATACAGAAAACAGGTAAATAATGAAAAATCTGATGGGATTCGATCGAACGACCTTTGAGCTATAATCCTGTGCTGTAGGCATTTGGCTATCAAGGCATATTGGGTTTCCAGATTATGGATGTGCCATAAATATATGAGAACACTGTGACATCATTGAGGCAGTTCAGGAATCCATGTTCTGATATATATATAGCCTATATACGATTATAGCTTCGTATAAATAAATAAATAAATATATATAATATATATATATATAATATATATTTCAGGGCGTAGATGACGAGAATATCACCGAACGTTACTTTGCCGTCCGGCTTGGCAGACGAGACAGATCATCGGTCGTGACGTCCCGTCACTGGGGACGCGTGACCCGCCTGATATTCCGATGAACGCCGTTGTAGTATGTCGAGTGGTCCAAGAGGAATTTATAGGACGATGAGACGGCCCATGGACCGGAAGACGGAAGCTACCGTGACGGAGCAGGGGAGAGAGGAGGGCAGAGGGAGGAGAGAAGTATGGGGCGTGCGTCTGTGATGGAATAGACGGAAGAGGCAAAGCTGCCGTGACGGGAAGGGGAGTGAGAGCAGGAGGAGGGAGCAGTATGGGTTGTGATGGATGGACCGCGACAGAGGAAGCTGCCGTGATGGAGATAGAAGAGAGAAGAGGGAGGGAGGAGTATGGGTGTGATGGATGGACGGAAGAGGAAGCTGCCGTGACGGAGAGGCGGAGACGGAGGAGGGAGGGAGTCGAGTATGGGGGTGCCTGTGAAGGATGGACGGAAGAGAAAAAGCTGCCGTTTGATGGAGAGGGGAGAGAGGGAGGGAGGCGGAGGGAGTATGGGGTTTGTATGGCATGGACGGGAAGGAGGCAAGCTGCCTGTGACGCTGAGGACGGGGAAATAGAGGACAGGAGTGAGGAGTATGGTGTGATGGATGGACTGGAGAGGAAAGCTTGCCGTGACGAGAGCCGGGAAAGAGGAGGAGGGAGGCAGTCATGGGCTTGTGATGGATGGACGAAAGAGGAAGCCTGCCCGTGACGGGGAGGGGAGAGAGGAGGTGAGGAGGAGTATGGGCTGTGCAATGCATGCCGACGGACAGGAAAAAGCTGCCGTGATGGAGCAGGGTGCGAGGAGGGAGCGGAGTGAGCAGTATTGGGTGTGAATGGAATGGACGGAAGAGAAGCTGCCGTGGACGGCAGAGGGGAAAAGAGGAGAGGAAGGAGGGAGGAGTATGGGTTTGGATGATGGGGACGGAAGAGGAAGCTTGCCGTGACGGTGAGGGAGAGAGGAGGGAGGAGAGGAGTATGGGGTGTGATGGCATGGACGGCTATAGAGGAAGCTGCCGTGACGCGGCGAGGGAGCGGAGGAGGGAGGGCAGGAGTATTCGGGTTGTGAGATGGATGGAGTGGAAGCTGACGTGGTAGGCTCGGTTTTTAAAGAGAGGCATGGGTGGGGGGGGGGGGCGATTAATTGACAGGACGGCTTTTTGTGCGGGATGGTGAGGAAATGAGAGAGGGCCGGGGTATCGAGACCATGCGTAGTAATCTATGCGTTGGGAAGGCAAAGGACAAAGGACATAAAAAGATG